AATACTTTTATTGACCGTTCTGCTGGAAGCTTTTGTTTAATTCTATAGAACTGCCCCATTGTACTCAAAAATGTAAGAATAGATTACCAGACCATTCAAAAGGATATTTGGATGCTAATTTCTTTATTTGTTGATTTGAACTGTCTATGTACCCTAAAACCTATCAAATTAGTATAGTATATGGGCACAATAAAGTTTACTTTGGGCAAGGCGCTTTTGTGCACATAGAACCGTTTTGGCGGTCCGTCCGATTGTCCTACCGCATGCAGTTCTTTCTAACTACCTCTTCATCCTCCTTAGGTTTATCTCTGTCCTCTTCCACAAACACGGCTGACTATCATCGACTAAGTGGATTGATACCAACTACTAAATATAAGCATACCACATTTTGCATTCGCCCCTTGTGTAAATAAGGCAACACTACAAGGTTCCTTTTACTATGTGCGTATCATTATTACTTCCTTTACGATATCAGCCTAAATACGTATCGTAAATAAATCGCCAGAATGCATCCGCTGGCCGAAGGCTCCTTTAGAAATTCAAGTTACTCTTATGCTGTTAAGTTATAGAAGAAAAGTATTTCAAGCATGGTCATCTTTTACTATCATCAGTCAAAATATTTTGGATGGAAGAACCAACAGGGTTAACGGGTAAGCAGTCGTCTGGCTTTTACAACGATGAGTATTCGGTCGAATGTGCAACGCAACATCGCACTATTCTGGAAAACAGGTTGAGCAAGAAACTGCAATTTGCCTAATTTCACTGTTTTCCATGCGGGAAAGTTGTGGAAAGATTTATCACAAATGTTGCGATGGAAAAGGCGAGACAGATTGCGGAATGTCAGTCCCGTCAAGGAAAAGACATGTCGCCTTGATTCGCATATATGTGACACATTGTTGCTCGAGTGTGCATGCAAGTTAACACTAGGTTGTTGGTAATCAGTTATTTTCCAAGGTATTGCCAAAGGCCCTCATCTACAAAAAGACAATTGTAAAAAAATGCGATGGTATGCTTAAAAAAGGAGAACAAATATAGCACATGACACCCTAAAAAACCAAGCTATGATAGCAGAGCTGATAAGACAGAGTCTGGGGGGTAGATTGATACAGCACTGTTTTGGGCTTGTTTGCCTTCATTCAGCCAACCAGAACCCTGACCACTAGCAGCTGGTACCGGAAACACAAACATGCGCACAGACGCACCTGGCGCAGCTGGTCCAACACTGGGGTCTACCAGATGGGTCATAAGCACTTCATCGAACCGACGTTCATCAGTGCCTCGCCACCTGCCATTCTCTGTCGCTGCAGATCAGGTATTTATTCACTCAGGAATGCGCGCACAACGATGCATTCGCATTCCGAAGCAAACAAGCTTAGTATGGGCGATAGGGGTCACGAACAGGCAACCAAGCCGCATTCGGCCAAGCCATGATAGCAGAGCGGATACGACAGAGTCTGGTGGGTAGATTGATATAGCACTGTTTAGGGCTTGTTGGCCTTCATTCAGCCAACCATCACCCTGACCACCAGCTGGGACCGGAAACACAAACATGCGCACAAACGCACCTGGCGCAGCTGGTCCACGACTCGGATATACCCGATGGGATATAAGCACTTCATCGTAACGAAGTTCATCAGTGCATTGCCACCTGCAATTCCTTGTCGCTGCAGATCGGGTATTTATTCACTCAGCAATGGGCGCACACCGATCCATTGGCTTCCCGAAGCAAACAAGATTCGTATGGGCGATAGGCGTCACGAACAGGCAACCACCAACCAGGCCGAAGTCGGCCAAGCTATGATAGGAGAGTGGATACGACAGAGTCTGAGGGTAGACTGATATAGCACTGTTTCGGGCTTGTTTGCCCTCATTCAGCCAACCAGAACCCTGACCAACAGCTGGGACCGGAAACACGAACATGCGCACACACGCACCTGGCGCAGCTGGTCCACCACTGGGGTCTACCAGATGAGTCATAAGCACTTCATCGAACCGAAGTTGATCAGTGCCTAGCCACCTGCGCACAGTCATATACTGCGTCGACATAAAATTCCAGGTGGAGAAGCACTTATTAACTACGTTTCTATGAAATGCTTATGCACCATCTAGTACACCCCAGTGGTGGACCTGCTGCGCCAGGTGCGTCTTTGCGCATGTGTTTGTTTCCGCTCCGAGCTGGTGGTCAGGGTTATGGTTGGCTGAATGTAGGCAAACAGTGCTATATCAATCTACCCCCCAGACTCTGTCGCATCCGCTCTTCTATCATAGGTCGGCCGACATCGGCCTGGTAGGTGGCTGCATTTTCTTGACCCCTATCGCACATACGAATCTTGTTTGCACCGGGAAGCCAATGGATCGGTGTGCGCCCATTCCTAAGTGAATAATTACACGATCTGCAGCGACAGAGAATGGCGGGTGGCGAGGCACGGATGCACTTCGTTTCGATGGATTGCTTATGACCCATCTGGTAGACCCCAGTGGTGGACCAGCTGCGCCAGGTGTGTCTGTGCGCATGTTTGTGTTTCCGGTCACATCTGGTGGTCAGGGTTCTGGTTGGCTGAATGAAGGCAAACAAGCCCGAAACAGTGCTGAATCTGTCTACCCAACACAATCTGTCGTATCGGCTCTGCTATCATAGCTTGGCCGACTTCAGCCTGGTAGGTGGTTGCCTGTTCGTGACCCCGATCGCCCAAACTATGCTTGTTTTCTTTGGGATGGCAATGGATCGGTGTGCGCACATTCCTGAGTGAATAAATACCCGATCTGCAGCGACAGAAAATGGCAGGCGGCGAGGCACTGATGAACTTCGTTTCGATTAAGTGTTTATGACCCATCTGGTAGACCCCAGTGGTGGACCAGCTGCGCCAGGTGCGTCTGTGCGCATGTTTGTGTTTCCGGTCACATCTGGTGGTCAGGGTTCTGGTTGGCTGAATGAAGGCAAACAAGCCCGAAACAGTGCTGTATCAATCCACCCCCAAGACTCTATCATATCCGCTTTGCTATCATAGCTTGGTCGACATCGGCCTGGTAGTTGGTTGCATGTGCGTGACCTCTGTCTCTCATACGAAGCTTGGACGTTTCGGGAAGCCAGTGGATCGGTGTGCGCCCATTCATGATTGAATAAATACCCTATCTGCAGCGACAGAGAAAGGCATGCGGCGAGGCACTGATGAACTTCGTTTCGATGAAGCGCTTATGACTCATCTGGTAGACCCCAGTGTTGGACCAGCTGCGCCAGGTGCCTCTGTGCGCAGGTTTGTGTTTCCGGTCCCAGCTGGTGGTTAGAGTGATGGTTGGCTGAATGAAGGGAAACAAGCCCGAAACAGTGCTAAGTCTCTCTACCCAACAGACTCTGTCGTATCCGCTCTGCAATCTTAGCTTTGCCGACTTCGGCCTGGTTGGTGGTTGCTTGTTCGTAACCCCTATCGCCCATACTATGCTCGTTTGCTTCGGGAAGCCAATGGATCTGTGTGCGCCTATTCATGTGTGAATAAATACCCGATCTTCAACGACAAGAATGGCAGGTTGCGAGGCACTGATGAACTTCGGTTCGATTAAGTGCTTATGACCAATCTGGTAGACCCCAGTGGTGGACCAGCTGCGCCAGGTGCGTCTGTGCGCATGTTTGTGTTTCGGGTCCCAGCTGGTGGACAGGGGGATGGTTGGCTGAATGAAAGGGTAACAAGCCCGAAACAGTGCTGAATCTCTCTACCCAACACAATCTGTCGTATCGGCCCTGCTATCATAGCTTGGCGGACTTCGGCCTGGTAGTTGTTTGCCTGTTCGTAACCCCGATCGCCCAAAATAAGCTTCTTTGCTTCGGGAAACCAATGGATGTGTGTGCGCCCATTCCTGAGTGAATAAATACCCGATCTGCAGCGACAGAGAATGGCAGGTGGCGAGGCACGGATGCACTTCGTTTTGATGGATTGCTTATGGCCCATCTGGTAGACCCCAGTGGTGGACCAGCTGCGCCAGCTGCGACTGTGCGCATGTTTGTGTTTCCGGTCTCAGCTGGTGGTCAGGGTTACGGTGGGCTGAATGAAGGCAATCAAGCCCGAAACAGTGGTGTATTAATCTACGCCCCAGACTCTGTCTTATCCGCTTTGCTATTTTAGCTTGGCCGACTTCGGCCTGGTAGGTGGTTGCCAGTTCGTGACCCCTATCGCCCATACGAAGCGTGTTTGCTTCGGGAAGCCAACGGATCGGTGTGCGCACATTTCTGAGTTAACATATATGTATGAGAAGAAGAGGCGATCTCGGGAACCATGATTGTATTGTCCTGACGTTTCAAAAGCAGACAAGCTTTCATCGTCGGAGGTGAGTATCGTACGGCATCACACAGTATTTATAGGAGGGGGATAGATATCAGCCATGCTAACACGGTGGTAATTATAGGGGGGAGGGGATGGTTAATCAGCTTTGGCGCTAATGGCCCGCATACGCACAGGGATCGTCTCTGTAGTTGCCGGGGCAGAGCGGGAGGGAGGGTGACTGCTGTCAATCTGCCTGTCTCTCGTCGGGGGGCGGCATTTGAACGTTGGTGGCCATCGCCCGCATTCGCGTTGACCTTAATTGTCGTACGACTGGCCGTTAAACCAACAGATGCAGCTGCACCAAGGTTCTACGGACTACCCAAAGTGCACAAGGTCGATGTCCCCCTCCGACCAATCGTGTCACTTCGCGGCGCGCCAACATTCAATCTGGCGAAATGGCTGTTCCGACGCCTGAGGCCTCTCACCTCAGGCGCAACCACAACGGTCTGTTCAGCTACTCAGTTTCTGGAACGGCTCAGAGGAACGCGACTCACTGCAGACGAGGTCATGGTGTCATTTGATGTCACCTCTCTCTTCACTTAAATCCCGCAGGACCTGGCCATCGAAACGGTCAGCGAATTACTCGAGAGGCAGTATGACGAGACGGACAAGTCAGTGAAGCGCAGACATTTAGTCCAACTATTAAAATTCTGCCTGAAGACGTACTTCACCTTCGAGGGGACCATGTTCGAACAAATTAAGGGGACGCCGATGGGATCGCCTCTCTCCGGCTTCATCGCTGAGGCAGTTCTGCAAAAACTAGAGAGCCTGGTTTTCACCACCCACAGGCCAAAGTTTTGGACTCGGTACGTGGACGACACCTTCGTCATCATCAAGCGAGAAATGATCGAGGAATTTCACATCGTCCTGAATTCCGTCTTTCCTGACATCCAATTCACGATGGAGGCGGAAAACATCAACCAGCTGCCATTTCTGGACGTTCTTGTCCATCGAAAGCCCAACGGGCACATAAAAACGACGGTGTACAGGAAGGCTACCAACACACGCCAAATCCTAAACTATCACAGTAAACACCCGTTATGTCACAAACGCAGTTGTGTGCGAACTCTCTACAGTAGAGCAGAAACACACTGCAGCGAACCGGATGACAGAAGGACAGAACTCCGCTATCTTCAGCGCCTTTTCATGGCCAACGGATATCCCCGTAACTTCATCGAGCGCAGCAGGCAGTCTAAACCAGGCCAAAATCGGGTGACAGAACAGCCAAAAGTCTGGCGTGCATTGCCATACATCGACGGCGTCTCTGAGGCAGTTTCCCGCCTCCTAAGGCCCTTGGGGATCGGGATCGCTCATCGACCAGACTCAACCATTCGGCATTTGGTTATGAGACCGAAGGCCCCCCTGCCACGAGGTGAGACGACAAACGTCATCTACCGGGTCCAGTGTAACTCTTGCCAAGCAAACTACGTCGGAGAGACAGGCAAACGGTTACAAACTCGCGTTAACGAACACATGCGGGCAGTGAGGAGAATGGACCCATTGTCTCTGGTGGCGGAACACTGCGCGGACTCTGGACACACTTTTGCCTTCCAGAACGCCAAAATTCTGGGTCGAGGCAACGACCGCGTAGCCAGGGAAACGATCGAGGCCTGGCACACGGAAACAACCTCAATAAACCGTTGCGTCGCCCTCCCGACAGCATACCAAGCCCTCCGGACGCAGCTCAACGAACTAAAGGGCAAGCGCGAGGTCAGGCCGGACGTGGATCTAAACACGGGAGAGCCTACGACGGACCTACACGTAGACACACCGCAAATCGGGCCCGACGAAGGCGCAGTCATCAATACTGTTGCCTCAACTACTACTCCGGCCGAAGGGGAGAAACGCGATCAGAGGGATGCAATCAAGACTAGCAACCCAGCACGACAATTAAGGTCAACGCGAATGCGGGCGATGGCCACCAACGTTCAAATGCCGCCCCCCGACGAGAGACAGGCAGATTGACAGCAGTCACCCTCCCTCCCGCTCTGCCCCGGCAACTACAGAGACGATCCCTGTGCGTATGCGGGCCATTAGCGCCAAAGCTGATTAACCATCCCCTCCCCCCTATAATTACCACCGTGTTAGCATGGCTGATATCTATCCCCCTCCTATAAATACTGTGTGATGCCGTACGATACTCACCTCCGACGATGAAAGCTTGTCTGCTTTTGAAACGTCAGGACAATACAATCATGGTTCCCGAGATCGCCTCTTCTTCTCATTTATGTCCGGGGACTCGAATCTTCGCTTCTATTAGCAATATATATATATATATATATTGCTAATAAAAGCGAAGATTCGTGACCCCGGACATAAATCAGAAGAAAAGGCGATCTTGTGAACCATAGTCTTAATGTCCTGACGTTGCAAAAGCATACAAGCTTCCATCGTCGGAGGTGAATGTGGTATCGCGCCTCACATTATTTATAGGTGGTTGACAGTCATGTCGAGACGGTTTTTTTTCATACATACGAAGTCAGGACGGCAGGGATGAAGGGGCGGGGAGGTAGTCCGAGAGCGTCTTCTCGCCGGATGAAGGGGGCGGGCGGTGGATCAGCTTTAGTGGTCACCAGCGCATGCACACAGGGACTGTGGCGGACGGGGGGAGAGGGAGGGTGACGGGAAGTACTCAATCTACATCGGGGGCCGGCGTTGAGACGTTGGTGGTCGTCGCCCGTACCTTCATTGACCTTAACTGTCGTCCAAGGCTGGCAATCTTGTTTACGCCGCAACGACTGTCCGTTTTCTCGTCCGCCGGACTAGTAGATGGAACGGCTGTGGTGACGAATGCGCCTTCGTCGGAACCAGGTTGAGGGGTGGCTGAGTGTGCATCCGCCATGGACTCACTCATGTCTGGATTCGTGTTTAGCCTGGGTTCACGTCTGCTCATTTGTTTACTGAGCTGTGCTCGAGGGGCTTGATAGGCAGTAAGAAGAGCCACACAACGGTTGTTGGAGGTTGTCCCATTAAGCCAGTAGACGCGGTCGCACCACGCTTTTACGGACTGCCAAAGGTACACAAAGCCGGAGTGCCCCTCCGGCCAATCGTATCATTGCGCGGCGCACCTACATTCAATTTGGCTAAATGGATGTGACGAAACCTGAGGTCTCTCACCTCGGACGCGGGCACGACGGTCTGTTCAGCGACTCAGTTCCTGGAGCCGATCAAAGGGATGAGACTTACCGAAGACGAGGTCATGGTGTCATTCGACGTCACTTCTCTTTTCACTTCGATTCCACAAGACCTAGCAGTCGAAACGTTCAGCGAGCTGCTCGAGAGTCAGTACGACGAGACGGGCGTGACGATAAAACGGAGTCATCTCGTCCAATTGCTGAGGTTTTGCCTAAAGACGTACTTTACCTTCGAAGGTACGACCTACGAGCAGGCCAAGGGGACGCCAATGGGATCGCCGCTCTCGGGCTTCATCGCGGAGGCAGTTCTCCAAAAAGTAGAGACCCTAGTTTTCGTAGCCCATAAGCCGAAATTTTGGACTCGATATGTCGATGATACCTTCGTTATCATTAAGCGGCAAAAGGTCCGAGAATTCCATGGCGTCCTGAACTCTGTTTTCCCTGACATCCAGTTCACAATGGAGGCGGAAGCCAACAACCAACTGCCGTTCCCCGACGTTCTCGTCCATCGAAAACCAAATGGGCACTTAAAAACGACGGTATATAGGAAGGCCACTAATACGCGCCAAATCCTGAGCTTCCACAGTAAGCACCCGTTGTGCCACAAACGCAGTTGTGTGCGAACACTCTACAGAAGAGCAGAAACACACTGCAGCGAGCCGGACGACAGAAAGTCAGAACTACGCTACCTCCAGCGCCTCTTCATGTCCAACGGGTATCCGCGCAACTTCATCGAACGCAGCAGACAGGCCGGACTGAGCCGACGTTTGGAAAAAGAACGCCCAAAATTATGGCGGGCGCTTCCATACATCGATGGCGTTTCTGAGGCGGTCTCCCGTCTCTTAAGACCGCTGGGGATCGGCATCGCCCACCGACCGGAGTCAGCAATTCGAGATCTGGTCATGAGACCTAAGGCCCCTCTGGCACCAGGTGAAACCACGAACGTCATCTACCGGATCCAGTGTAACTGCTGTGAAGCCAACTACATTGGGGAGACGGGCAAACGACTACAGACCCGTGTTGGAGAACACATGAGGACAGTAAGGCGAATGGACCCTTTGTCTCTGGTGGCCGAACATTGCGCCGATTCCGGACACAGCCTTTCAGCACGTCAAAATTCTGGGCCGAGGAAGCGACCGCATAGCAAGGCTTGGCACACGGGGAAAACCTCCATCAACCGTTGTGTGGCTCTTCTTGCTGCCTATCAAGCCCCTCGAGCACAGCTCAGTAAAAAATGAGCAGACGTGAACCCAGGCTAAACACGAATCCAGACATGAGTGAGTCCATGGCGGATGCACACTCAGCCACCCCTCAACCTGGTTCCGACGAAGGCGCATTCGTCACCACAGCCGTTCCATCTACTAGTCCGGCGGACGAGAAAACGGACAGTCGTTGCGGCGTAAACAAGATTGCCAGCCTTGGACGACAGTTAAGGTCAATGAAGGTACGGGCGACGACCACCAACGTCTCAACGCCGGCCCCCGATGTAGATTGAGTACTTCCCGTCACCCTCCCTCTCCCCCCGTCCGCCACAGTCCCTGTGTGCATGCGCTGGTGACCACTAAAGCTGATCCACCGCCCGCCCCCTTCATCCGGCGAGAAGACGCTCTCGGACTACCTCCCCGCCCCTTCATCCCTGCCGTCCTGACTTCGTATGTATGAAAAAAAACCGTCTCGACATGACTGTCAACCACCTATAAATAATGTGAGGCGCGATACCACACTCACCTCCGACGATGGAAGCTTGTATGCTTTTGCAACGTCAGGACATTAAGACGATTGTTCACGAGATCGCCTTTTCTTCTGATATATATAGATATATATATATATATAAATGATATAATACCGACAAAGACAAGGGAGACCGGAATGGCCATTTCTGGCTTATTAGCCGTCATCAGCCAGTCATATCCAACCCCAAGTATGGATCACTTGAGATTCGAACACGGGATCTTTGGTCATGGAGTTGAACGCTCTACCATTGAGCCACGGGCCAGTTGTCCTGTCGGTTGTGATCGGGAATATTAATTATGACAGTGGGCGCTCGCCGATCAGGTTACGGAAAATGCTCGTTCCGTTGTGCCTTGGGGCTCATACTTAAACCCTCGCAGGCAGTCGCACAGCGACTAGTAGTAGACATAGATGAGATCTATGTTTCCACAGACTGCTCTGGTTTATCATTCGTCCACTTAGATTGAAGAGAAACTCCAAAGCTTGGGACAACAGGGATCTCGCGCCCTCGTTCAGACATTAAAACTCCCATCCACCTATATGGTCTCATTACAAGCAAGGCTGCCTATCTAGGCAACGAGTACCTGTGCGGTCTCGACCACTGCTGGCCGGATTTGTGTTTAACGCTTCCCTGACAGTGCCTGTAAACTGGTATTATAAGGCGCGACCTTCGACAACCCTGAAATAACTGTGACAGCCTCTCCCTTATCTTCACTCTAGTTCCATGTTAACAAACACCTCTGGGATCTCTGGGATGCAATTTGGGAATCCAGATTGATCTGATCTTAAGTGTTAACCCTCAAATGGCGCAAAAAGCGGTATTAAATTTCAAATTGGCACCAGTGGCTGGAATGTGTATAGGTAGGTTTGTTTTTCACAAGAAATGGTGTGGACTGCTGTATCACAGATGGTGCGGTTTGGCTTGTGTGTGAATTTCTTCATTTTAGAGCAGACTTACACAACGTGTACTCCATCCCCTTTCTAAAGAACAGACTTATTCAAACGCCAAAACGACCGTAAGTTATTGAAGCTGCGTGCCAAAGTTGATAGGTATTAGATTAAGTATATGCGTATCAAACTTTTGTTTACCCGTAGATCTATACTGAGTAGTAACCTTCTGAATGGGTCCACTGATCCTTCAGATGTCATGTTCGGAAGGTCCCGCTGCTACGTCGGCTGAAATCCTCCCTAGCACCTAGCTGCCCCTTCGGCGGACAGTCCTCCAAACCACAGCCTTCACAATTCCGTGGTAGTGATGCAGGACGTATAAATGTTTATATAGCGGATACTTAGGACTGGAACACAGCCGGAACGACCTCAATCTTTCAGCCCCTGTTGTATGAACCAAAGTTTTGTCCGAGTAAATCCGACTCGGGCCGAGGGTGGACGCAGTGACTTTTGTGGCGTGAACGTTCAGCTAATGTATGCCGGATGCACTTCAGATGATGTCATGCATATCGTTTTGTGTACAGTTTAGGGACTTACTCTTGGTTTAATCAATTAATAACAGTAAAGCACACACTGTCATGAAGAAACGCCTATTCATTCAATGCGCCGGGAACGCGATGTTTCCATATAAAGTGGTGAAAGTCCTTTCCTATAAATATATCAATAAAGGCAGGTGTTTGGGTTAAAATCAATTTTGGATTGTGGACACTTTAATGAGTTTAGTCACTTGGATCTTTAAGCGGAATAAACATCTATCTGAAGAAGTGTGCTGACGCCATAGGATGCGACGTTAGCCTATTTGTAATTGGGTTGCCAATCAGATTCTCTGGAAGGTTTATTAAAATTTAGTGAAGTATGAGCAGCTGTCAGTTCACCGTTTACTCAGCGTGGAAGATGCCGTTTGTAACCTCGTTCCTGCTTCAAATAATGTTTTATTTTGCCGGTATAACAGTCGATTACTCTTCTTCTATGGCAGCACGGTCCTACTTTGAACGTCAAGCATTTTCTGCCCAACAGTGCATGATTCGTCATGTTGCAAATAATGTGTGATAGGATAGATGTGTACAATTATTAGGTTTTCTCCCATCTCGTCACCGTGATATCACTTGAGCGTCATTTAGTAGCAGATTTTTTTTCTCAGAAGCAGTACTT